GACACACCAATGTCGGCACACCTCTCACACGTTTCGTGCCCCCATACGAGGCTCCACCCAAGGCCCTTGCGGCACCGTCCACATGCGTCCACCACACCCATTTCGGCACACCCCTCCCACGTTTCGTGGCCCCGTAAAGAGCTCCACCGAAGACCCCCGTGCCACCGCCCACATGCGTCCGCCACACACCTTACACGTTTCGTGTCCTCATAGGCAGCTCCACCGAAGGCACCGATAGCACCGTCCACATGCGTCCGCCACACCCATTTCGGCACACCCCTTACACGTTTCGTGGCCCCGCAACGAGCTCCACCGAAGGCCCCAGTGGTACCGTCCACATGCGTCCGCCACACCCACTTCGGCACACCCCTCGCACGCTTCGTGGCCTATGGGGCTCCACCGTAGGCCCCGTTGCCACCGTCCACATGCGACCACCGCACCCATTTCGGCATACCACTCACACGTTTCGTGGCCCCAGAGGGAGTGTCACCGTAAACGATATTCACATTTGCGGTTCCACAACTGTATATGGTTGGGTCCTTCGCCAGGCTAAGCTTATTATTGTTTTGTCTTGCGCAGTGTGACTGACAGCCAGCGGCCTCGCGCCGAGACGCTGAAGAGGGGCAACCTGCACCTCGACAGAGAGGGGGGGAAAGGGGGGATGGAGAGGGCGTGCCTCCGTCAAGAAAGGGCACAAACACGAAGACGACGGGAACGGACCTTGGACCCCCACCCAGGCCACATCCTCAGTCTCGGACCCGGGTAGGACCTCGAGGTCCTTAAATTTGTGGTAGCTCGGCTCCCGTACGCGGGTGCGGAGGCCACTTCGCAGCCTCGGCAGGCGGCTCCACGCAACCGGCACACGCAGGCAGCTCCCGCGGCACGCACGACCGAGCATGTCGGTGCTGCATTCACGGCAGGCACCGCATGCGCTTCAGCATGCGAACAGGGCCAACTAACCAGACGCGGTGCCCCGCGCCACGCCTGCATGGTGTTGAATTCACGGTAGGCACCGCATGCATCTCATCATGCAAAAAGGGCCAACTAACCAGACACGGTGCCCCGCTCCACGCCTGCATGGTGCCGCCTTTCGGATCTGGGCAGTCTGGGCACCGCTGTCTGACCTCCGACGGCGTCTGCATCCGATGCCCCGTTTCGGGACTCGGACGGGTCGTGCCTGCACTCGGGAGTCACAGCATCGTGGGACGGCCGCGGGACGGTCCCGCGCCCCCTTCCAGTGCCGACGTGACGCGCCGTCGCGGCCACTCGAGTTCACTTGCGCCACGCTCCAGCCTGCTCGATGCAGTCTGCTGCCGATGCCTACTACAAAAGGGGCGGGGGCCGTCCCCGAAACAGGCCGCCTCGAGGGCGCCCGCAGCCAGCCTGGCACGCCAGCGGGCGAGCAGATCCAGCGCGGGACGAGGATGCCATCGATGGCCTGGGGTCCTCCTCCCTCCTCCTCCCTCCTCCTCCCTCCTCCTCCCTCCTCCTCCCTCCTCCACCTCCTCCTCCTCCTCCTCCCTCCTCCTCCCTCCTCCCTCCTCCCTCCTCCCTCCTCCCTCCTAGAGCGGCCACTCTGGGTGCTCGGTCGGCCGCTCCCGTCCAGGAGCGATGGCGGCGCGGGACAGTCGCGCCGATAGCCCCTATGTGCGTGCGCAATCCCACCCTGAGCCAGGACGTCCACGCCCCCTGCCGCTTGCGTCCCCGCCTCCTGCCGCTGCTGCCTGTGTAGCTGCTGCCTCGCGTGCCGTGGACGTCGTTGCAGCTGGCGCTGCGAGGTGTGCTGCTGCCTGGGGTGTAGCGTCTGTTGGCTCATCTCCAGCGCGGGCACCGTCTCCTGGCTCGGCGGTGCGCCTCGTCTTGGTTTGCAGCCTGTCGCGTAGAGCTCGATGTGCCTTTACCAGTTCTTCAGCCTCCGCCTTGAACTGCCCGAAGGCCGCCTGGGCCACGTTCTGGAACTTGGGCTGCAATGCGTCGCGGAGCCTCTGAGCCTCCTGTCTGGTCGATTCCTGCTGCACCCCGTACTCGTCCAGCTGCTCCAAACTGGAGAGGGCCTCATCGTACAGCTCCCAAGCCGTGTTGACCTCCAACAGCTTCGACATGCTGAGGTTCGGCGCCGTGCTGGACTTGTTCCCTCGCTGCTTAGAGGCTGGCAACACCGTTTCTGCCAATTTCTACGCTGCCTTGGCGTAGGCGGCCGGCGCCAAGTCCAGCTCGCTAGTGCACTGCTGACCCTTTCTTTTACCTTGCCCAACTGCTTCTGGAAACTTTCTGCTGCCACGATAGCCAGGTCCATGTTCTCCTCGGCTGCCTCCTTGGCCAAGATGGCGACGTCCACCGCAAGGGGCGTCTTCAGCTTCTTGGCTCGCACCTCTTCGAGTTGCTTCTGGCACTTCGTCTGGCCTGGAGGGCCGCCTGAGCGGCGCAGGAGCTCCACCAACTGCACCAGCTTGGTCTCTTCTTGGTCCATGGAGGGGGGGGGGGGGCGTCGCCGTTGCCCAAGGCGAACCTGAGTCCTCGCTCTCCACGACCGCCCGCAAGCTCACGTGACCCTCGCGGGTCCCGTGGTCCTCGAGAATCTGCCCGTGGGGATTGGGGCAAACGGCACAAACGCCCCAAAAAGTCTCATCTCGCTCCGTGCTGGCAGACCGTCAAACCCCAGAGCCGACACGATGGCCAGCACGAGGGGTCGTAGGCACCAGCGGGGGCTTGCAGTGCTTGCGTTAGCACCACCAGGACTCGTTCCTCTTGCAGGTGCACGTGCTGGCCGCATGCCGCCGCCATGGGCCTCTCCGACGCGCTCGCCTTGTGTGCCATGCATGGAGGGCGGCTGGCTACCTGTTTCTCTCGTACATGTAACCGTGCTACCGCCAGTCGTCGGCGAACGCGACGATGCCAAGGAGGTGATGTGGACCGCATGCGGTCCGTCGCTACGAGCGGCGCTGGGGGGGCGCGCCCGCCGCGGGCAACACGGCTGCGGGGCCGTTCTGCAAAGCCACCTGAAAGGGAGGGGGGAAGAAGATGAGGCGGGGGGCGACCAGAGCAAACCCAACATGCATCAACGATGCTGCAATGCACTTTCCGTCTCAGGTGCTCGCCCCATAAGCCCTTACAGGGTTTCCTTTGCACTTTGAGAAGCGTCTCCTTGAAAGTCGAGCACCCCATGGCTTGCCATTCAGGCGGGAGCCCCGTTCTGAAAAGGAGCCGCCGTGCATCCTTCTAGAGAGTAACAAAGAATGCTCAAAGATCTGATACGACCGTTCGACGAAGTGTCCAGCGACCAGCGAGGTCCTCGGTTCTAGAAGAACCGCACTCGTGTGTACACGCCGGTCGGAAGAAGTAGGTAGAAGCATGAAGTAGGAAGGCGGGTAAAGTAGATTGGGTCCAGGTCCTCCAAGAGAATAACAAAACACAGCAAAAGCATGCCGATTCTTGAAGTAGGAGGGCGCTTGAAGTAGACTGGGATCTGGGAATCCAAAAATACCTACTTTCAACGACCGGTGGGTACCTCTTGCATCAATTTGAACTTCTGGCCATGGGCGCCGAGGAAATCTCAAGCGAAAGCCCCACCTTGAAAAGAATCCGCCGTCCATCCATGCAGCTGTGACGTCCAGGCGCCAGGCCTTTTAACTTCAAAACGCTTCAAGGGACAACTGCACTTTGAAAAAGAACCACCCTCCATCCCTGCATCTGTTGCAAGCTTGCAGGGCGGATGTGCACGGCGCTTCCGCGAGTCCCATTTTGGAAAGGAACCGCCGTCAATCCTTGAAACCGCTGCAAGATTATAGGACGATTGTCCGCGGCGCTAAAGCGAGAGCCCCATGTTGAACACGGCTCGTGCTCCATCCTTGAAGTTGCAGCGTTAAAAACGATAGCGTGCGGCGCTATGACGGGCCCCATTTTGACCCCCACTCCATCCCTGAAGCTATTGCAGACTTTTAAGACGATGTGCGCGACACTAAGGCGACAACCCCGTTTTGAAAACGTGCCCCCTTCCATCCGTGAAGGCGCTGTTTTGAATTCTGAGTTTCAGGACCATCAGTGGTGATGAAATCTGGGGTCAAACGCAGGGCCCGCCCTACCGACGCGTCTGGGGGTGCAACAGGGAGGAGGAGGAGGAGGAGGAGGAGGAGGAGGAGGAGGAGGAGGAGGAGGAGGAGGAGGAGGAGCAGCAGGAAGAGCAGGAGGAGGCGGAGGATGGGGAGGAGGAGCAGGAGGGCGGGGAGGCGAGGGGGATGGAGTGCCGCTGCGTGAGCGAACCCGCCCGGAAGAGGGCGGGATGATAGGCTGTCACGCTCGAGGCCCGCGTCCTGATTCAACGGCGTGGCAACGAGGCGGAGCACGCCACTAGCATGCAAACTGAAATCCGACACCCGTGCGGGGTGATGGCGGAACCAGAACGGTGCAGGCATGAGTCTCCGGCGGTCCGCGCAGACCTCTTGGATCGGCGCTGGGGCCCCCTGGCGGCGCCACCCCTGGCGCGCTACCGCGCCAGGGAGGGGGATCCAGCGCTGATCCAAACAAATCCGCGCGAACCTCCGAAGACTCATGATTAAAACCACTGCGTCTTTTCGATCGGATGGGTCCCTCGGTCCGGAGCCACATCCAAGGAGGACCCAACACGGCCCGTTGCACTCCGAAGCGGTCCCCCAAAACACACTGCCCGTGAGCACAAGCCGCCAAGGCCCAGGCACGTTTGCATAGCGTATCGCGCCGGCGGTCCCTGCGACACGCTATGCCTTGCAGGCGGAAAGCGTGCCGCTCCGCTCCGCGGGCCGGGAGGCTGGGAAAAGCTCGGGACGTTGACGCTTGGGAGCGGGGAGTGGACGGCGTGTCGCGCCGAAGCGTGTTGAACCAGAACCGGCGAAGCGAGGCGCTACGCCAAGGTTCCTGGCCGTATGTCTTCAGGCATGGGTGTTTCGTTTCCACGACCCGGCTACCGATCGATGGCAGGGGGAGGGCGGCTGGCGCTGCTGCCATGATTGCATGTCCTGCGGGATCTACGAACCAGGCATGAGCTTCGCGAGGGGCGAGAAGAATTTCTTGAAAACCTGCTCCAGCGCCTGTTCGTCTTTGATGATCTCCTGCTCTGCGGCCTGCTCTATCTTCAGAATCTGATCGGCCTCCGACGCGACGAAGTTCTCGGTCATCTTTTCGATCCTCAGGGCGCTCTCGAAGGCCCAGCGCTCGTCTTTGTCTATCTCGGACTGCGCCGAACGGGCGAGGTACGTGAGCTGCTCCTCCACGGACAGCTCCCCCTGTTCGAGGAGCTGCTTGGCGAAGCGTGCCCTTGCCTGCAGCGGGTCGGGGTTCGACTTGCAAGAGTTGTCCGTCGCCTTCCAGAAAGCGTCGTAGGGTATCTGTATCTTGTCGCACGCGGCCTTCACGCGGTCCAAAATCTGTGGGGGAATCGTTTTCGACCGGGTGTAGAGCGTGCCTCCGCCGTACCCAGCCCACGCGTCGTTGCGGCCGCGGTAATAGACTAGCACCCAGCCAGCCTCTGGGTCGTCCATGTTGTCGTAGTCCAGGATGAACCAGTCGTCCTGGTAGTGCAGGTACTCATTGTCGTGATTCTCCAGCACCCCGGGCTTGACCTGAACGAACTGCTGCACCGTGGACTTGGTCAAGAACTCGCCGTCTGGCTCCTGAATGCGCCAGTTGATCTTCCCCACCAGCTTGCCCGGCTGATTCGCCTCCGCCCTCCTGCCCTCGAAGAAGTGCGCCTGGCAGTCGAAGGTGTCGAACAATGGGTTCAGGCCAGCGGTGATATACCACCGGCCCGTCATCTGTGACGCGTCGAATTTGGTCACCACAGCGTCCTCAGGCGGCAGAGGGTAACGACCCTTCACGGGGTCCCAGGTCGCCTCGCCGGGCATCGGGCCGGTGTCGGGCCGCTGCGGCACGCACTTCTTGGAGCTGAGCGCGCAGGCGTTGAACTCCCCGACGACGTCGTTCTCGAAATTGTCCCCGCACTTGATCTGGCACGTCTTCTCCGTCTTCTCATCGGGAGAGTTGGAGCACGCGATGATGCACGTGAGGTTGGCCTTCAGGAGGTCCCCCGAGGTTCCCGGGAGGTCTCCGGAAGTCCCTGGAGGTCCCTGAAAACCCAAAGAAAGTCCCTTGAGGCACCTGGAGGTCCCCGGAGGCTTCCAGAGCCCGAAACATTGCTCCACAAACGTCGAAGAACCTGGATGCTCCTCCTCCTCCTGCTCCTGCCCCTCCTTCTCCTGCTCCTGCTCCTGCTCCCCCCCTCCTCTCCCTCTTCCCCCCGTCCTCCTCCTCCTCCTCCTCCTCCTCCTCCTCCTCTCCTCCTCCTCCTCCTCCTCCTCCCTCCTCCTCCTCCTCCTCCTCTCCTCCTCCTCTCCTCCTCCTCCTCCTCCTCCTCCTCCTCCTCCTCCTCCTCCTCCTCCTCCTCCTCCTCCTCCTCCTCTCCTCCTCCTCCTCCTCCTCCTCCTCCTCCTCCTCCCTCCTCCTCCTCCTCCTCCTCCTCCTCCTCCTCCTCCTCCTCCTCCCTCCTCCTCCTCCTCCTCCTCCTCCTCCTCCTCCTCCCTCCTCCTCCTCCTCCTCCTCCTCCTCCTCCTCCTCCTCCTCCCTCCTCCTCCTCCTCCTCCTCCTCTCCTCCTCCTCCTCCTCGGCCTCCCCTTCCCCCTCCTCGTCCTCCTCCTCCTCCTCCTCCTGCTCTGGCCGCGCAGTTGGGGTTGAGCACGCACTTGGCGAGCTGCACCTGGCAGTTCTTAAAGAGGCACGGCGCCACCGAGGCCATGCTGCTCTCCGCCGCCGCGGGCGCCAAGCCGGCGCCCAGCGCCAGGCCGGCCGCCACAACGCAGCCCAAGAGGGCTCCCAGCTGTGGCCGCCACCAGGCCTTCCAAGATGATGCAATGAGAAGCCTTACTGCAAGAAATCTAATGGCGTGTTTGTCGTCGGGTTTGCAGATTTCTGAGGTGCCCCAGGGATTTCGTGGGCCCCCAGGGCCATCGGGGGACAAGAAACTTCTGCGGGGCACCTGCGGACAGGCCAGTCTCTTACTTGACGTGCCTACTGTAGAAGAAGAAGAAGAAAACATGAAGAACATGAACATATACTTTTAGAGATCCGTGCAGATTTCTTGGATCGACGCTGGACCCCCTCCCTGGCGCGCTGAGCGCACCAGGGGCGGCGCTGGGGGCACCACCACAGTGGTCCAGCGCCCATCCAAGAAATCCGCGCGGACCTCACATATGTTCTGTTAATGTCTTCTTCTTCGAGGATCGTGCCTTCTAGACATCGCTGGCCCCACTTGGGCATCCGAAGGCCTCCAAATGCCTCCTGAGACTTCTGGGGGCGGGACTTCCTGGGGAGCTCCACTGCTCCTCATCCCCAGTAACAACTAAACGCTAAACAGCAATTCGGAATGTTACTCTCTTCTCCCCCGTTGCTGTAATTACTTGAGCCCGTACATCTTGCATAATGCTCTTGCGCGCAGGAATATCCCGAGCTGACTTTCGATATAGCTTTTTCCAAATGAGAATGAACACGTTCTCGGCCTTTCAGCAGTGGCACTGCCGCTGCAGCGTGGACCACATTTCATGATCTCTAGGGAGCCTCCATGCAGCGGAACAACGCCCTCGCCGAAGCCCTGGCCGTACGCTTGCATCAGTGAAAGCGTCCCGCTGCAAGCTTGTCATATTTTCGGCTTTCCACAGATCTTCCGTTCAACGGGAGGGCGCTCGCGTCGCAGCGCTGGCCGCACTCCTGCATCCGCAACAGCGGCATTCCCGCTGCAGGGCTCCCCAGCTCTCAGGACCTCAGCCAGGCCTTCGTTCAACGGAGCGACACTCCCGCCGCAGCGGTGCCCGCACTCCTGCAGCAGCACAGGCGGCGCTCCCCTCGGCACACCGCAGCGCGTCGCGCAGCAAAAGCGGCGCCCCATCCGCACAAGCGGCGCTCCCCTGGCATCAGCCATCGCCGCAGCGTGCCGCGCAGATGTCCATCGACCTCCCGTCCCACGGAGCGGCGCCCTCGCCGCGGCGCCTGCCGCCCCCTGCGCATCCGCACCTGCCCTGCCTCCCCCCGGGTGGCTCCGGCACCTCCTGCTCCGCGGTGTGAGAGGTCGGAGGGCCACGGATCCGCCGTCCGTGTTCGCGTGGGCACCGGGCCAGCGAGGAGGAGGGGGAGGAGGGGGAGGAGGAGGAGGGGGAGGAGGAGGAGGAGGAGGAGGAGGAGGAGGAGGAGGAGGAGCAGCAGGAGGAGGAGGAGGAGGAGGAGGAGGAGTGGGAAGAGGAGAGGCCGTGGGGATCAAGGACATCCCCGACACCCGACTCCGCGAATACGGAGGGATCCGGCGCGATGGGAAAAATATCGGAGGGAGGGGCAGGGCGTCAGATCTGGCGCGAGCGCACCCAGCTTGCCCTCCCCTCCTCGACGATTGCACAGTACGAGTGCTGCTCTCATCTCCCCTGACGACGTCCAGAAGATATTCGGCCCCCCTCCGCGTATTGTTTTTACACACAGGATTTCTGGGAACTGGGTTTTCGCTTCGTTTTTTTCAAGCTGCTACTCCCGCTGAAGCGCTAGTCTCATTTTCGGCCTTCCGATCGTTCCGAATCGTGCTCCCGCTGCAGCGCTGGCCTCATTTTCTGGTTTTCATCTGTGTTTTTGGCAATCCGATTCTTTTCGGCCCTTCAAACTGTTACTCCCGCTGCAGCGCTGGCCCCCTTTCTGCTCCTCTGGTCATTCCAAAAACGTGCTCCCGCTGCAGCGCGCGGGCGTTTTCGGCCCTCCCAGATAGGCCCCCAATCTAGAAAATATTACACCCAGGACAAAAAAACATCGCAAGTGGTTCCGCATCCGGTGTCGATTCGCTGAGCTCTTGGGGCCGCAGACGGCCACCCCCCCTTCGGGGCGGCGGCGCTGGGAGGAAGTCTCGAGAGGGAGCCCCGCTTCTGCTTGCAGAAGGCGATGCTGCAAGCAGAGCCAGCGGGTGCTCTCCCTCGGCCCCGCCTCGTGGGGAGCTTGTCGCGGAGCCCAGGGAGCTAAGCATGGAGCCGCGACCCCAGACTGGCCCCGACCCTGCGGGGACGATCCACTTGATTACCCTCCAAGGACCCCGGTGCCCTGCCATGGATGGCTGTGCGGTGTTCGGTTCTGCGCCGCGGTGCGATGCCGTGCTCTGCGTTGCACTGCTTTGTGATGCAAGGCTTCACTGCGCCATGACACGCCATGCCACGACATTCTACGCTCTGCCGTGCTCTTCTACGCCATGCCATACCGTGCTCTACGATGCATCACGCACCCTCTCCTGCGGTGAAGGAAGTGTACTGTGGCACGAGACAGACCAGTTACTAGGGGGAAAACAAACCTACCTCGCTCTTGACCACCCTCGCTTCCAAGAGATACCAAACGATGCCAAATTGCAGCCTGTACTGGTCAGGCCGCTTGACGAGGAGGCGCGTGGTATGGCTTGGTTTTGCCTGGAAGCGAAAGCGGGGTAGGTAATTCACGCTCTGAATTACTGCGTACAGAACGCGCTGCTGAGAACCCCTGGATAAGTCTGCTCACGCCCAGGGATATGCAGAATAGATCCCGCACTGATTCTGGAATCTCGCCCATAGGCTCTAATTAGGAAGTCCCGGGAGGGATACGGAGGATGATGAGGAGGAGGATGAAGGTGAGGAGGAGGCCAAAGAGGCTCCAGCACCCAACCTCACAGCGCTCTGCCGAGAATGTGCGATTCGCGGAGCGACGCGAGCTTCGACAGGCGAGAAGACGACTCCAGAGGACCAACCGCGTGCAGTGACGGGCTGCGCGAAGTACCCACGCGCCTGAGACAAGACTTGCAGAAGGGGACGTCGAAACAAACAAAAAGAGCACTGCCCCGCCTCTGCAACCTGGATCCCGGATCCCCGCTGCAGGCGCCCGCGGCCCTCCAAGAGAGAGAACGACGGGCAGATTGGGCGGGGGGCTGCCGCAAAGTCCAGATGCTTGTGGGCAGTGGCATGAGCGAGGTGGCAGAAAGGGGGCCAAACACAGTCGGGGTTGATTGGAGAGTACATGCGAGAGGACACAAGACCCTTCCGAGGGCCACATTGCCACAGGAATGTGAGAAGGCATGGGCCGCGAAACACAGCACACAAATGTACCCTTGATTTGGCAGGGCCGACCTTTCTTCTCCCGCAACTGTAAGATGAAGCCCATCCTGGCCCCGTGTGTGAGCTTCTGAAGAGCTTTTTTTTCGAGTCTTAGACGCTTATCAGGAAGCCCCCATGCTGTCTTCTGCTTCCCTGCCACGAGGCACCGAGAGGGTCTCTTCACGAATCTTCGATCCTCGATATCATGCTTCCCCTGCGTGAGAGCATCAAGAGAATTGGCGATGGCTCCTGGGAGCCAGCCTGGGAGGACCTGGGAGCCAGTCCGGTGCCTGCACGCGGACTGTGGAGGCAGCCTGGGAGCACCAGAAAGCAGGCCTCCGAGGGGGCCGAGGAAGAGCCGCGGGCTGCAAAAACCACACCGTAGGAGGTCTGGGAACTCCCGCCCCGCCCCACCGTCGCCGCGGTCGCCCCTGGCGGCGCCGGGGCCGGGGCCCAGGCGGCGCGGGCATCTCCAGCGGCGCGGCCCTCGCCCGGGGCTGCCGGACAGGGCGCGGTGGCCGCGTGCCTCGGCCCAGGGGCCAGCAGCGCCACTCCTCCCGGGAAGGGCTGGAGGGCGGCAGAGGGGGGAGGCCAAGATCCCCAACGTTTTTTTTATGCATTATTTCAGCTGGCGGCTTTTTTTCGAAGTCAGCACTCTGGGGCCGCTTGTGGGCCTCAGGACAAGACGGACCTGGGGGGAAGAGCACCCGCGATGGGGTCGAGGCCTATGGGGCCGCGGAAAAAAAACATGAGCGGATAACAGGGTGGGGCGTGGGAGGAGTAGAGACAGGAGGAGGAAGGGGCGACGGGAAAGAGGAAATACAGAGCAGGGAGGGAGGGGGTGCGGGTTCACTGGTGTTGATGATAAACTCGGTGTTGGCGTCAGCCACTCGATGATGTGATGTCCGTGGGTCTGATTAATTTCTCCAGCACGAGTGTTAGGCCAGCTATGCTTCCGACCACCAGTCTGGAACCTTACAATATATGGCTCCAAAGAAGCTCTTGTATTTTGGCACGATGAGTATGATGTGAAAATTTAGGTTAGTCTGATATAGGAATATACCAGCCTGGTACGAATTCTCTGGAGCCCGCAAGATGTTCAAACGGCCGCCCAAAGGCGGCTCACGGGGCCCCTCGCGAGCACAGGCTTCAGCGGAACAGTAGGCAGTGTACGCATGAATCAGTGGGCTTACGCCCCGAAAAATCTTTTTCGCCTCTGCTATCCGCTTTCACGCTCGGGAAAGACAGAGGGCCATTCAATCTCCTCGCTGCCAAATTGGTGCATCATATCACAGTGCCGTCTGCCACATCTGGCACTGCAGAAAAAACCTGCAATCTTGGGCGCCCGTCCACGGGGCCACTGAAACACCGGTTGCTCGCAACCGCGCCCTCGGCCGCTCAAGAGTAGAAATCGCCCTCGGTCTGGGAGGCCGCTGCAGATCTGATCCCGATCGTCCTCTACACACCGTCTGCTGCATCTGGTATTCAGATCTCCGCGGTCTTGAACGCGTCTTGGATGAGGCTGGCGAGATCTCGCTTGTTCGTCTCGAGTGGGGGAAGGCCTTTCTCCTTCCGCTTCTTGGCGCTGAGCTGCTCCTCGTCGTCGGCTAGGGCCCAGCACCCTGTCCTCATGCGCAGTTCAATCGGCCCGCAAGCCGCTGCCTTGGTAAGGCTGTCGCTTAGGTTCGCCTCGGAAGGGCATCTGGCGATCGGCCCGGTCTCCTCGATGCACCAGTCGAAAGCCCCATCAGCTCCAGGGCCGTCTGCTTCCCTGCCGAACTCTGCATTGTACCTGCTTCGCCAGACACATAGATGCCCTTGGCATCCACGCAGAAGCGCGCCTTGACAGTCCGAACTCAGTCTGCTATGGGTCGTAGCTCCCGGCCAGCACTAACTGCGCCAACTACCGCGTCCGATGCGAATCCGTTCAGTTCGGCCCGCATCATGCGCGCCACGAGCAATTCGTGCTCCGCGATTGTTGGAGCTTGGCCTTCGGCCGCCAGCGAGCTCCTGGCCACCCGCTGTAGTTTTCAACTGCGATGTGACACTCAGCCGACAGGGGTCCGTTTGCCCTCTAAGATGTCCTCCGCGGCGATGCCGATGACATACCCGCGAGCAGATAGGCCGTCTGGACGGTTCGCCCAGGCTGCGTCGCCCCAACCCATGACCACGGCTGTGCCCTCGAACGGCTCGAAGCTCAGCTTGTAGCTCGGGTCCATCTTGATCTGGCGAATCATCTTATTGATGCCGGAGAGCGTCTGGATGGTCGCCTTTGGCCCACTGCTCTGTAAGATGGAACGCTGCGCTTGGCACTGCAGTATCGTCTGTGTCGCCACCAACTGGATGTCGCCCGAAGCTCGTCTCAATCGTGTCATCTCGCGGTCCGTGAGCTTCTCGTTGCGCTGTTTTCGGCGATCGCTGGAACTGTCGATCTCGTTGGTGTTGTCGATGAACTCCTTCTAGTGGATCGCGACTCGTCCGTCCAGGTCCTGTTTGACCGCCAGCCTAGTCTGCTTGACCTGTCCTTCTTTCCAGGGGTCAAGCGAAGCGCTTTCTGACATGTCATCTCCGCGTCCATCCACCGACGGCTGCCGTCACCTGTGATCAGGAAGTCGCCCGCGCGCGTGCCGACGATGCAGCTCGCGCCCTCGCGCCCTTCTCGTCGCTGAGCACCCAGACGCATGGGTCCGATGCGCTCCGCTGTCTCCAAAGCTGCTTCATCGGCGCGTCCGCGCTCTCGTGCCGCGACTCGCGTGCGTGACATAGTCCGTGCGTTGCTTCTGGTAGACGCGCGAGTGCCCCGACGGGTAGCCCGAGCTCCCCCGCCAATGCCACGTTTGCTGGGGGCCGCCTCGGCGTCGTCCCTCTCGAGCCTCTGGGCCTCCATCGCGCTCCTGGCCCTTCCCGTCGTAATCGGTGATGCCGCTAATTCTCCACCGAGGCGTGGATCTTGATGTCCAGGAACCACAAGCAACTGCTTCCTGTCGCCTCGTCCCTCTTCCATGTCAACGCCCACCTCGTCTTCCAGACGTCCGCGGGATTTGGCTTCATGTGCAGTGAAAGCCTTCCGAGCACGTCGTTCGCGATTAGTCGTGCACCTCCGCGAGCTTCGCCGCCTCTCATCCTGCCCCTCCGCTTGCTGGTCACATTATTGACGCTGTCTCCTGTCCTGCCTCTCTTCAGCGCTGTGGCCGCGCATCGCTCTGGCTGACTATCTTCTCCAGGTGCGCTCAGTCCCCGACCTCGAACGCTACTGCACCACCTCGATGAACTCCGTCCCGGCGGAGATTGAGATGTCGTCCTCCAGCTCGGTCGCCGCGTGCGCGCCCGGGTCAAATGTCCCACTATAGCAGGTCCCAATGTGGCTTGTCGTCCGGGAAGACTTCGAACGCCTTCAGCGAGGGCCCGAACGGCGTCTCCATCCGTTTCCTAGTTACTCTGTCTTCGCGATGAGGTCGTGCCGGTCGTGCTCGAGCCTGCTTCTCACGACGTGTCCGGTCATCGTTCGCGAACGGGGTCTGCTCGATTTTCGCATCCCCAATCAGGTCAGAATTGTCGTGATCTCCGATCGGTGTCTGCTCTGCAGCGGATGTTTCTTTCCGTTGTCCCGGAGCCTTTTCGGCCGACAAAGGGGCATTCGCATCTGCCACTTCCTTGCTCTTCGGGAACAAGTAGTTCTTGCCCGTCCAACGTGTCCCCAGGGTCCGCGTTGACCTCCCGTGAACGTTCCAGTTCTCGTTTTTGACTATCTCCGTGGAGTCATCGTCGAACTGGACCAGCGTAACTCGTTCCATGGTCGTCTCTCAAGTGAAACCCTGAAGCCTCTCGGGGTAAATTGCAACACGCGATGTCGGAGGTGGCTCGAGCGTGGGCTTTGCGTCCTTGGAACTCGCCCTCCACCCAGTAGGTCTTCCAGATCACCATCGTCTGGTTCTCTCGCCGTGGCCTCGCGCGCGTAGGCGCCCTCCTGCGCGGGCGCACCCTCCCTGTCCATGCTGATCACATCGCCCATGTTGAGACCATCAAGCGCATCCACGTGTGTCCAGGGAGTACCCTTCTCTCCCGAAAAACTCTCCTCCTCGCGTGGGCTGGCTGCCTGCGGCTGCTCTAGTGAGCACCTCCAGAGACGTGCTCCCGTCGCAGCCCAGATCTTTCGGGATGGTTTTGGGCTCTCGCCGTTCGCCCCCGCAGTCTGCGCACCCAGCGCGGTGCCTGGTCGCCCCGACCATCGTCCTCGATCTATGCCGCGCTGCTTCCGCCCAGCAGGCGCAGGCTGCTTGGCCTGCTTGCCGCGCCGTCAGACACATGCCAACGTGCCGGCACGAACCTCTGAACTCGTTGGTCGCGAGCGGCTGCGGCCTGGGCCTGCTGCTGCTTCAGGATCCCGTCGCCGATGATCTTCGACACGAGCGCGCTCCTCGGCGGGTTCGCCATGTAGCTCTGATTGGTGCACTCCACTAGATCCAGATTTTCGTCATTCGCGAGCGTCCCTGGCCAGTTCTCGCCCCGGACGACAGCCCGCTGAGTCGGGCTGTAGCCGTCGATCCGCTCCACTTCCTGGTGCACGGCCATCTCCAGGTCGGTGTCGTGGTCCCTGCGTGGTGACTTGGCGCGCTCAAAGATGGTCTTGATCGCTCGCTCGGATATTCCTCTGCCAGAGTGCCCGAGATGCGACGCGTTCCAATGCTGCGCCCTCGCCGGCGAAAAAATGGCGAGATGCGAATGCCCCCTCGGGGTCGTGACGCAAGGCAGCTGGCATGCCGCATCAATCAGGCCAGTGTCGCCTGAACGCCTCCAGCAGCTCCTTCGCCGCGCGGTTCTTCGATTCCTGTGCCGAGCAGCTGGCGATCTTCACCGCCGGCGTGAACTTGCTCGCCGCATCCATGGTCACCAGGTACTTCCTCTGGACGTCATCGTTGCCAGCCATTTCCTTCGCGCCCATGCCCGCCACCTGTCAGAGGTCCCTGGCAGGCTCCAGCATTGCCGCCGGCCGCGGCTTCGGTACCTGGTTCTCGGTGTACAAGCTGCACTTAATATGCTTCGCAACTGCTGTGGTCGTTGCTGAGGCTTCACGTCTCCGTGGCACTCGTACGGTTACCATAAGTGGCCAATGACCTGTCTTTCGGTGCAACCTCATCGTGGCCTTCCGCATCTCGTTCTGCTTGAGCGGCTTCAGTATGTTCCATTCGGACATCTCCTCGGCCGTGATCTACAACACAACCTCGGTGTCGTGCATGTCCTTCTCTGTGGCTGAGAGGTGCCTCCTCGGTCGTGAGGTCGTTGATGACAGCCATCAGCTCCGGGAGGTCCACGATGCACTTCCAGATCTGAAAGTCCAACTGCGGAGGTATCTGCCTGATCCCATCGCGTCTCGCCCACATCAGTCAGCGTGGCCGTGTCCATCTGGATCGGGGCATCTGTTGCCTCGCAGCATGGTGGCCGACTTCGCTCCCCTGGTCCATGCCGTCCACGGTTTGTAGATCGGGCGACCCTTGCTATTGGTAGCTCCCACCTGGCGCCCGTCGAAACTCGCCATCCCCATCTCCGCCTCGCTGAAGAATGCGAGAAACCGCGGAAACAGCTTTGAACCGCGGCAGTTCCTCGGCCACTCGGAATGCACATCGCCGCCATTCGCCATCATCGTTCGGTCGAGCACGACGAAGTTGTCCACCATCTTCCCGAGGTTCTTACGCTCGGCCTCGAAATGGATCCGACCCCGCTCGTCCGACGTGCCCAGTCTTTACCGCGCAGGCCGCCGGGCAGGGCGGACTACTCCACAGGTCTGCTCCAGGATGCTGATCGGATCTTGAGCGCGTAGTGCAGCCCCGACATCTTGCTGAGGTCAGCGTCCTCCGCATCGCATAAGTTCTGGTGCTGGCCACCTGCCCGAGCTGACTTTCCTCCTCGGTGCAGAACTCGATCGGCGTCTTGGCGCGCAGGTTGGTCGTGGCGCTCGCGTCTTTCACCTGGTCGACGACCCGGGCGTAGCGCGTCGATCCCCTCCGTCGGGCACTCGGCGTCTATCCACGACGTGACGGCGTCGTGGGCTTCAGTGGGGCCCAGGAGCAGTTCTGTCTGGCGCTCTCCGGTCCCCCTCCCTGCGTAGATCTTCGGAGTCCGCCTCCTGGACTGCCTGTCGGCCGGCCGCTTGGCGCTGTCCCTCGTCGCGTCCAGGTCCTTGGTCGCCCGCGACGTCTCGGCCCCCGCCCGCGGGACTTCTTCCGTCTCGTCGGAGGGCCCCGTCATCTGAAACGATTCGTCCGACTCCACGGTCTCTTCCCCTCTCGGAGTCGCGGGTCGTGGTGTGGGTCTCTCCTTGGCTACCTCGTTGAGCTTGAGATTCCCGACCGTCGGGCCCAGTTGCCCCTGCTGCATTTGCCCGACGCTCCATGCTTCGGGGCGCGGGGCATCGCCAGCTCGCGCCCCGCGCGCATGTAGCTCACCTTGTACTGGTTGGCGTGCCTCGCCAACGTGTTGGTCGCGTCGTGGCGGCGGCCTCATGGCGCGCCGAGGGGCCCGGCGCCTCCCCCGTCGGCGCCCTCCGCCCGTCCCCAATCCAGGCGATCGCCCCTTCGGTCGTGCATCGTCCACTCGGAGACCGTCCTTCCGCAGCATTTCGCCCAGCTGCTCGTCGACGTCCCGGCTGGAGAGGAAGGTCGCCCGCCGCTGCCCCTCGGGCGATTGCCGCCGCCGCATTGCCCACAAGACTTGGGCTTGCGGCTCGGCCTAGGTGCCCTGAGTTAGAATTTTCGGCCAAAGCGGTATCCATGGCGCAGAGTCTCCTCCGGCTCAGACTCCCCCTCTTTCACGGGGATCCCAGTGACCTTCGCTTCCCCGAACGGTGCGTCGGAAGGTTTCGGCTCGCTCGTCGTTGCAGCGGCTCAAATGCCCTTTGCTCCACTCGCTGACTCCTTTCCGTCCTCCTCCTTCGGCCCCGTCGGACTCGTCGCGCGCCCCCTCGGTCGCTCGCGCTGTCGATGTCCTCTGGAATCGGATCGCTGTGCTCGGGGCTCAGTCAAGCTGTCGGTCGCGTCGGACTCGCTGTAGTTTCCGACCCCTTGAGAACCCCAGACGTTTTGCTGATTATCACAGGCCCTCCTGCCATGGCGGTATTCAGCTTAGTCCCCGTGCTTCCACTGCCTCCCCTGCTCCCGCGGATGGCGTGGAATGCAGTGCCCAGTGACGCGATGCCGGTTGTCCTGTTTTACCATCACCGCAGGAGGAGGGGCGATGCCCCTACTCAGCGGCGGCCAGATCGGGCCTGCTCGGCGCCCTGCACGCCGAGCGTCTGGCGCAGATTCTCGAGCTCCTGCCGAAGGTCGCCGCGCAGGTCCATGGTCATGTCATCGCAGAGGTGCCCTGTCTTGATCCGCTTCAGCTCGACGAGCTTGCCCGTCGAAGTCTCGGCGAAGCAGGCGGGCCCAGCGCCGAATTGAGGATTGCCCTCGTACGCCTCATGATGTCCACGAAGCTCAGCGGCAGCGCGTAGCGGAAGTTCCTCGCGTTCGACGCGCGCCCGGCCACGGTGCCCAATCGTCCATCTGCGCGGAGTGGTAGAGTCGCCCCGCTCGAGCACTTCTCCGCCGCGCCGTTTGCGATGCCGAAGTTCGGCCGATCTGTCGCGATGACAGTCTCGCAGCTGGTGTCCATGTCTGCGGCCCTCTGCTCATCGATGATCGATCTTCTCCAGGGCCTTGATGTCGTCGCGCCGCAATTCAGCACCGCGCGCCCCTCCGTCGCGACCTCGAGCACGGCCAACGCGCGGTCGAAGGCGCCAGCCATCGTCTCGTGCTTCTCCACTGTTAGAGACGTGACGGCCCGCTCCCCGCACCCGTTGTCCGCCGTCTCGCTCTTCTCGCCTAGTTCGATCTGCCGGACTTTGCGCTTGCGCGCCCCGCCCTGGTTCCGCGCCTTTCTCTTCGGGCGCTGCGCCTGCCTGCGGGGGCCGCCGCAGATGCAGCGCGGGGCCCGGCGTCGCCTGTCAGTCTGCCCTGGCCCTTGCCACGGGCAGTTCTTTTCTCTTAGAATCCGCGGATTTGCATCGCATCCCTGACGGCTGCCAGCGCCAGCGCCGGCGGTCGTGTCTGGGTTCGGGCGCCCTTCTTAATTCGCGTCGGCGACGGTTGTCTGGGCCTCCTCGGCATCGGTGCGCTCGTCGCCCCTCAAGCCCTCGAGGTATTTCGTCGTCGTCCTCTTCCGCCTCGTCGCCCAGGTAAGCCTCGTGGCAGTCGTCTTTGGCGCGCTCGCCGTTGCCCCCGTGCTCCTCGTCGTCGTCTCGTCGGAGATGACAAGAGCGCGCCCGCGCCCAGAACTGTGGGGGCACACGTCGCGCTTCTCATTGTTGACGTCGTGCCCCTTCAGGCCCACGTCGGCCCAGTGATCGCGCAGCGCTGCCGCGCTGTTCTCAGGGTTCAGCGAGTTCTTGGTCGACGATGGGACACCGGCGCGCTCTTGGGCGCTCAGTCCTGCTCGTTGCAGTAGCGACCATCTTGCCATGACCGACATTTTTTTGTGTGTTGTTTTCCTATATTTTTTTTTTCTCTCTCTCTCTCTCTCTCTCTCTCTCTTTCTCTTCTCTCTCTCTCTCTCTCTCTCTCTCTCTCTCTTTTTTGTTCTCTCTCTCTCTCTCTCTCTCTCTCTCCTTCCTCTCTCTCTCTCTCTCTTTCTCCTCCCTCTCTCTCTCTCTCTTTCTCAACTCTCTCTCTCTCTCTCTCTCTCTCTTTCTCTATCTCTCTCTCTCTCTCTCTCTCTCTCGCCTCGGTCACGGCCTCCTTCAGAGCCCTGATGTCGATGTCGTCCTAGTCGAGATCGGATCTCGCCATCATCATGCACAGCGCCTCCGTGGCCATCTCCTTCAGCTTGATTTGCTTCTGCGCCTTCAGCGATGTGGTTGGTCGTGGCCAAGGCCGCTTGTTATGTGAGTGTCCGTCCGGCGAGCTGCTACACCTGCTGCCGTGCCGCCAACTTCCTGTCCGTCGGCCGCTGCTTCATCCTTCCTTCCAGCTGTCTGCATCAATGCCAGCTTCGTCATCTTCGCCCTCAAGAACGATACAATCATTCCTGACCGACTCGGCCATCTCAATGGGCCTGGTCTCATTTCGAGCTTGATCGTCGCCGCCAGGTACTTCTCCTCCGCGTGTCGGAAGCTCTGGCAAACTTGTCTGCGACGGTGATGCTCCTCTGGGCATTGGCCTTCATGCCTTCACTGTCCTTCCGACGCAGCTGCCTTGAGGATGGCCTCGTGCATCATCGTCTCGTCGAGAAACTCCAGTAAGATCTTGCGACCGCTTGCCTGTTCCAAGAGCTCTCGACCTTCGTCCGACATTTCCTGCAGCGCCTTCGAAGCTTCTTCGCCTGTGAGCGAAGCAGCCAATCTCGCCCTGGCCACTGCCTTCCGACGCTGGTTGAGACCAACTACGTACCACTTAACTCTCTCTCGATACTCCTGGAAGCGAACCCCTTCCCTGTCGCAAATCGGGACCGTATTCCTTAATCAGAGATTGCCTCTGTAGGGGCCCTAGCGGATTCATATGTGTAGGTGAAGTATGGCGCCGATTTCGGCGGCACGCCCG